ACATATATGGTTTGAGTAAAAGAGAAAAGGAGAGTCAGAACGAGACAGGGAGAGAGGTGGGGGGTTGAGGGGGTCTCTCCCAGCAGCCCACCCCATTTACTACAGTCACCTATAGAAATACATGGACACTGTACTCCTACAGAGGAATGACACAGTTTTAGTATCCAGCTTCAAATTCACTTAGCAACAGTGGCTAAAAATAGCTCAGGGGAAGCTCATTCACTACTATGGGATGTTTCCTCCAAAGACATGGAATCCCTGGCCGCTCTGATCTCTCATCTCCTTGGTTACAACAGCCCTAACGCTACATCAACCTCCACGACCTGCTTTATCTTCTGTCTCATCAAAAAGACTAATCCAGCTGCCTCTATATTCACACGTATCAAGTAATTGCTCTAAAAAAATGTAACTGCTGCGCCACTAGAGGGGCATGACCCCACTTTGGGAACCAATAAGGTACTTATGGACTTATTTGTCATTGAGACACAGCACACCACTGCACACACAACAAAATGTGACCTCTGTTTTTAAACCCATCACCCATCAAGTGAACATAAGCGCCTGGGGAGCAGTGTGTGGGGACGGTGCCATGCTCAGAGAACCTCAGTGGTAACTTGGCAGCTGGTGGATTCGAACCTGCCACCTTCCAGACCCAAGGCCGCTGCCTTAATCACTAATCCACCACTTCTCCGAACATTAATGATCATCAATTTCATTGATCGTATAGTGGTTTTGTACTTTTTTAAATCATCATTGATCATATAGTTCAATCGTATAGCTGGTTTTGTAAGCCCTAGCTACTTAAAGAAAGTATGCAAAAATATTCACCTTTTGTAATTTTTTTGGACAAGATAAATTGATTTAATTTAATATATAGCTGTTTTGCAGTGTAGCATTAGATTAGTTTAGATTAGGTTACGTTAGATTAAATTATATTAAATTACATTACATTAGATTGGATTTGATTAGATTAGATTATTATCTTCGTTCGTGAGCATGACACCAATTGGAGGAATTCTTCTCCCCGTAGTCACAGCACTAAAATTGAAGAAATCACCTCAGGATTAAAACAGCCGGTGGATGGTCAATTTGTTTAATAACAAAACGCCAAAACAAACAGGTCCAACGAGCAAAATAAAACGACTGGAGAAGTATTCAAGAAAATTTTGTACAACAGTTACCAGTATGCAAAGTCAAGAATAACCTTCTTCTCAAGAATAACTTCTAATGCATCATCAGTGATGTGCACTTTTATACCTGTGTGGGGAGTGGTTTCCAGCTTCCCGGGTGTGTTTAAATGTAGTCAGGCCAATGGAAGAGAGAGGCCATTCATATTATTGTTCTCGTATCATGGTTATAACAGCAGTCGCCACAATGTGGCGCTGCTGCTCCATGATTCAGCAGTGCTGGAGGACAGTTTATGAACCTTTTGTTGCTGAGATCAAAATGAATGGATAGATCCGGGGTTTGCTGTGAGAATATGGATTAGGAGCCTTCCCATCGTTCCCAGGGAGTAGAGGTGTTTTGCAGTCTGGAGAGTTTGGGAGACATTCTCTTTGAATGTGTGGGGCTA